TGTCAATCAAGGATGCGATGATTTTAATGTTTGCACAGTGGGTTTCAACTCATGCTACACGAGCCATATAGTTTTTACACTATGAGAAGATTATGCCGGAGACAATATGTTAATTCAAAATCCCAATTAGAAATATATTATTTATTGAAAATCGAAGCCTTTTTTCTAAAGGTTTGTACGAGCGCTTTACACTGTATTACCGTCTTTGTTCCTGTTACTAATCACTGAATCATATTCTCTTGTTCAGTCACATTTCAACTTGTACTGACTAAGGCGATAGTCACCAAGTGGTGTATTGCCGGCGTAAGTGACTCAAGCGTGTACCTGAACAGACATGAATGTTCTCCTGTCCTTTAATGTGTTCCGCTTCACTGAATCGTTTTAATCATTTGAATACTACAACAGTATTTGAATTGAACAAAAACTTGCTGCATCAGTAAAATATCCTTAAAAGGACATATCGAGAAGCGAGTGTACCGGGCACCCTGCCCGACGAGTTGAGGGACTATAATTAACCGTATTCAACTGGTATAAAAGGATGCACGGCTCAATGAACTTACATTGAGGGAAAGTGCGGATATGATATTAGGTGTATTCAGACTTCTCCCTGTACATTTCTCTTCCATACTTAGGTTGGGTTATTACTCTTAAGTTAAGTTGAAAAATTATCTAAATAAACTAATATCAGTTTTATCTGGGTTGAACAACAAGGAGAGTTCTATGGATATACACCTTCTTTCTTCTTCTCACATCATTTGCTTGATAACGGTGTTAGTAGCTACACCGAAACGTCGCTCCTATCATATTAAAGAAGGTGTATATCCATAGAACTCTCCTTGTTGTTCATCACACCACCTTCTAAATTCCACTTAAACAAGTATATCTTGGTTCTTTGGTTGGGGTATCTTGGGGATGCACAACCTTGAATTGTACATACAAAATCCGGATCACATTTCAAAGTTTGAATGAAGTTTACTTATGTTTTTGTACTTGAAGACGTAGTCGAACTTTCCCTGTCACTCTTTGAAGTTCACACTTCATTCCAATCAAGACGGAAACAATTCTCGACCACAAGTAACGTGTTCAGATGATCGCTGCGCATGCTCGGGAGCCGTTAAGTAAAATTATATAGGGGATTCCTCAGTTGAAACTATGTTGTGCACGTGTCGGATCGCCTCTGTACTAAAGTCTTAAATGATTACATACAGAAATTAATTTTCTAAGTGGTATCAAATTATGAAACATTTGCATTCATTCCTAAAGATACTCGCATATTTTCTCCGAAAATTCCTCCTAATTGCACCAAGAAATCATAGGTTTATCATATATATGGGTCCTTGTATTTGAATGCAGGATTAGTTTCATATCTTATCCCTATGTCAAATGACTCACCAGACTGAGACTGCGAAACGCTGACTTCCGGCTCAGTATTGATATCACTTTTTTAAAGTTGATTTGAATTTCGAGGATCTGATTTAAAACTTTCCTGCACACATATGTCCGTGTAATCACACATGTAGTGGGGCGGCGGGGTAGCCTAGCGTTCGCTAAAGCGTTCGCTCGTCACGCTGACGATCCGGGTTCGATTCCCCACATGGGTACAATGTGTGAAGCCCATTTCTACTGTCCCCCGCCGTGATATTGCTGGAATATTGCTAAAAGCGACATAAATCAAACTAAATCCCCAGATAGCATCGGACGTTGGCCCAACTCACGTTGGCAATGTTGGCAAATATTGCCAACGTTGGGCCAACGTCTGAATGCTCTGGGGATGCCGTGGGAAATATCGGGAATATCTGTGTCAATACTGTAATATTACTCAGCCTCTCCTCATTTTGAGGAAAACATATTTTCAGCCGCTTTGCGAGAACTTTAAGGCGTGGTTATCATAAGCCAATATATTACAGTTCAGTAGATGTCTAGTAAACCTGTTGCCATTGGATGCAGCGTTATCATTTTCAATATATCACGTTACACGCCTAAATACTCTATAATATACTAAGCAAAGTAATCGCCTGCAACTTCGGGTTTCCGATGGCGGTGGGGTAGCCTTGTGGTTAAAGCGTTCGCTCGTCACGCCGAAGGCCCGGGTTCGATTCCTCACATTGGTGCAATGTGTGAAGCCCATTTCTGGTGTCCCCCGCCGTGAAATTGCTGGAATATTGCTGCTAAAAGCGGCGTAAAACTCACTCACTCGGGTTTCCGGATCCAGTAGGTCCGGGTTACCGAGGTTGTACTGTATTGAACTGTGTGCATGTCACTGAGAAATGTCACATTCAATACTTTCACGTTGTACAAATACAGCGCAGATACCATAAATCGGAGTTAAGCAACCCTGGTTGCGCAGAGTATGACGTCTTTATAATTCAAGATTTGATTCGAAATATCAACAATAATTAGGCGTCAAGTAGACAGAGAAGGTAATCTGATTGTTAACCTTCTAGGGCTTCTCAGGCAGGATGCTCCCCAGGGAGAAGAGAATGAAGATGGATGCACAATGATCCACTGACCGTGGTGATAATGGCTTCAAAGCACTATGAGCAACCTCTTGTCGCCTTATTAAGGGAATTACTACTAGCATCAGTACACGTACAGACAGAAAAAGCATATATGGAGCAATTTTCCACCAATGCAACGTTGGCCTAGGGGAAACAATTGAAGTGAGTGTCTGCCATTGTGTGCAGTGTCCTATGTGTCGAGGTACAATGACAATCCATTAACTAATTTACAGAGCCTGATAACCTAGGACCCGTTTCACAAAGCTATCGTAGCGCTACGACTGTCGTACCTCCTATACTGTTACATGACTTACGACAGTCGTAGCGCTACGATAGCTTTGTGAAACGGGACCCTGAGCCATTATCACCCCCTACTAAAAGTATAATGGGTTTGCTGGGGACGACCTCTAACCCGGGTTCCCCACGGGGTCACTCGAATGTACGCCAGTCAGACCCACAAGATACTTGTATTCTACAGGCCCTATATGGTAATACTGTGCAACAGTGGCACTTGAACCTCCATCACGCCCTTGTAGCTGTCAGCGCTGACAAGCTCCACCCTTGTGTAACAAGTATCAGGCTGCAATATGCGTGTCAAGGAAACATTGATGTATGTTATGTTTCCTTCCTGATCTACTCTATAGTTAAACACTATGTCAGTTTCATACAGCAGTCATAATGATGGAAACTGACACATGTTCCTGTTTCTAACGTTTTATATATGATTCACTGTACGCGTAAAAACAAAAATGTCATAGAATAACTTTCTTATATTACGTCAGATATATTTCTTTGGTTGAGTTTTATCAGATGTATTTCAAATAAGAAAACTATTATATTAGATACACCAAGCTGTATGGTTTGATGCTAGGTTACCGCCAGATGTAAAAAGGCTGACCATGTGTGAAGCTGTATTCTGGAATTTTACCTGTATTTCCAGGGGCGTATGCAGCTTTATGAGAAAAGGGGGTGCACACTATTGAGAAAAGAAAAGAGGGGGTGCACACTTCATTTTCACCCGAGTTTCAATGGTCATTTTATAAACTTTCAGGACACACACACACACACACACACACACACGCACGCACACACACACACACACACACGCACACACACACACACACACACACACACACACACACCTCTCTGGATCCGCCTATGATTTCCCAATGCAGATATACGCGGAAAGACATATTTCCATGTATGCCTTAACATGCTGAACAAATGAAATCATGAATATTTTCGGAAAGACTTTTCTTTGCAGTGAAGACTGGCTTCCTATAAAATTGTACGGTATATGTACATAGTTTATGACCCCTAAACAAGTTTGCTCAATATGTTAATTGTTCAGTGTAATAGTATAATTATTAATGAAATGTAGTGAGGATAAACTGTTCACCAAATGTTTGTGATTGTTAAAAGATTGGGTCGAAATATTCGATATTTGTCAAAGTCCAATAAAATTGTTATGGCTGACAAAGACATCAGCCGACCCAACATCTTGCTTCAACCGACTATTGCAGAGTGCGGGCTTCTCTTGACATACAGTTAGTCGCATCTGTTGAATGTGGTCAATACCTGCGCGATTCTCGAACAGAGAGCCAACATGCCTACACTTAAATGGAAGTCAGAGCTGACTTCGCGGGACAGTATGTAACAAACATCGTAACATGTCGACGGGTGCTTTCTTGATACAAGTGACTTGAAATATGGACATGTCCACCCATCATGTGGATTCAACACCCTCAAGTGAGTAAAGGCAGTCTGAGTTGTATACTCCCCAGGAAGTTGAGAATCTTATATGACTCAACATTGATCAGTGTAGAGTTCTGATCATACATTGAGGCTTGGATACTTTTTTCCTGAGCTGACTGTGATATACTATTACGTTGCTGGGTGTGAATAACACAGCTAATGCCCAGCTACGATTGACAGCTTACGCTCTATTGCTATGAAAGATAACTTGAATCAAGTGGAACGTTGGCATTGCACCAATTTCCAAACAACTTGTAAAATGTTAAAGTAGAACATACAGAAGTGTAAAAGTATAATTATACATATTTATTCAAAAGATAACACAGTGAAAACAACAAAAATGTACATGAATGTTTACTGATGCGGCCTCCAACATCACATAGCTTCTGAGATTGCACGAACATTGTCGATATTGCCAGATTGTGTCCAAGAAGGATTTCCATGTCACCATGTAAAGTACGATATTGCAACAATAACTCAAATATCTCTAGAAACACTTTCTGTGTACAATGGATGGGCCGGACTCATCGTACTCCTGCTTACTGATCCACATCTGCTGGAAGGTGGACAGAGAGGCAAGGATGGAGCCACCAATCCAGACGGAGTATTTCCTCTCTGGGGGAGCGATGATCTTGATCTTCATTGTTGCAGGAGCAAGGGCTGTGATCTCCTTCTGCATTCTGTCAGCGATACCAGGGAACATAGTGGTACCTCCGGAGAGAACAGTGTTTGCATACAAGTCCTTACGGATATCAACATCACACTTCATGATGGAGTTGTATGTTGTTTCGTGGATACCGGCTGATTCCATACCCAAAAAGGATGGCTGGAAGAGGGCCTCTGGACAACGGAACCTCTCGTTGCCAATAGTGATGACCTGACCATCGGGAAGCTCGTAGCTCTTCTCCAATGAAGAGGAAGAGGCAGCAGTCTGCATTTCCTGCTCAAAGTCAAGTGCAACATAAGCCAGCTTCTCTTTGATGTCCCTGACGATTTCTCTTTCAGCGGTGGTGGTGAAGGAGTAACCACGTTCAGTCAGGATCTTCATCAGGTAATCAGTGAGATCGCGACCAGCAAGGTCCAACCTGAGAATAGCGTGAGGAAGGGCGTAACCCTCATAGATGGGAACAGTGTGGGTAACACCATCACCAGAGTCCAAAACAATACCTGTCGTACGACCAGAAGCGTACAGAGACAGAACAGCCTGGATGGCCACATACATAGCTGGAGAGTTGAAGGTCTCGAACATGATCTGGGTCATCTTTTCACGGTTGGCCTTGGGGTTAAGGGGAGCCTCTGTCAGTAGAACGGGATGCTCCTCTGGAGCCACACGGAGTTCGTTGTAGAAGGTGTGATGCCAGATCTTTTCCATGTCGTCCCAGTTGGTGACGATTCCGTGCTCAATCGGGTACTTGAGGGTGAGGATACCTCTCTTGGACTGAGCCTCGTCACCGACGTAGCTGTCTTTCTGTCCCATACCGACCATCACACCCTGGAAGAAATTCAGATTGAGATAACGTAAGAACATTTCGCTGGAGCGTTCAGATTGTATGCTATATCCATCCATGTGCATATTTCCTTTTCACCATAAAAAACGTTTCTCCACGGTGATCACAAACATAGCATCTTTGTCTTAAGCAAGTTTACAAGGCCTTTTATAGATACTAATTATAAAATTCTGTCATCAACATAACAGTGAAGCGTAAAATTCTAAATCAGGTTTCTGCCCTCGGTGTATGCTTATTTCTATACTTTTAGTATTAGTATCAAGATACTCAGAGACATGACTCAGAAATATGCAGTCTAAATATTTTAAACACATAATATGTTTGTCTTGAAACCATTTCCCCACATTCGTGGTTATAAGATATAATTATATATGCAATTTAGATATTACCCAAACATGACACATCTGATATATAAATGATAATGACAAAAATATAGAAATGTATGTCATTGGAAATACATAAAACAATATCCCCAACAAACCAGTCAAGTTGACCAACTGTATAACACAACATTTTGATAAGACGATGGCATAAGTGTATTACCTGATGACGGGGACGACCCACGATGGAGGGGAAAACAGCTCTTGGGGCGTCATCACCGGCGAACCCGGCTTTACACATGCCGGAGCCGTTGTCGATAACCAACGCAGCAACATCGTCGTCACACATATTGATAGAATAGTGTAGGAGCAAGTATCGTTCCTTGTTGCACGCCGGCTGAGGACTGAATGACTCTACATCTTCAACAGTTGTATTTATGTGGGCCGATCAAAGCACTTCTCGGAAACCAGCTACAAAACTTCCATATAAGGCAATATCATGCTGCATGTAGGGAGGCCCGTGGAGCGTGACAATAGCTGTGCGCGAGCGCGTCTTTCGAGGAGGGAGGGGCACGATGGGGAAAGCAGGTAGAACAGGTGACTCCTTTCAATGCAATGAACGTTTGCCACAGAAGGAGGAGTGTTGTAGTGACCTTGTTCATCTCCGAATTCAAACGTGTTTGCCATTGAGAGCCTTTACCTCAATAAAGTTTATGTGTTTATTCAAATATTTGATTTTTATGTATTACTTATATCTAAATGCACATTCTGTATAAATCTTAAAGTTATTGAGAATGCCTGTTATGTATCATGTGTTTATTTGCGTATCCATATTACAGCATTTTGTCTGATTATGCAACATCTACTATCCATGCCACCAGCTGCCCACAGTAACTGTGTTACATTATTTTCCCTTCCCTCAACCCTTTCCGCTAGGTAAAAGCCGAAACAAGGCTACACTTTCCGGTTCTGGTCAAAATATATTTATATATGATGTACTTGTTACTCTGTGAATCTGTATGCTTACTCTGCACCCTGTATATATATAGAGATATATATGACTGACAGATTCACGGGAAAAGAGTAAGCATACAAGCGTTAGTCTAACATCTGGCCGCTTGCACATATTATTTACACAGTTAACACATTGTGTTCATGTTTTCTTGATATGCCTTTCGAACTTACTATATCGAAGCATATGTGGTCACTGGTATTATCCCAGATGTGTAAGGACTATATTTATTAATGCTAGAAATGTACCTTATCATTGTCGTTATCATATAGCGAGTTAGACCGGCCCTTAACTGTGACCAACAAAAGCTAATGGTTGTCACACTAAGCCCTGCCATATATAGCGAGGTAGGTATCCGTGAGATTGCGTGAAACGGCGAACTGACGTTGTCACATGTTACAGCAGCTTGTCTCGTTGATATCGTTTATACAGGCTGTCACAGGTTAATTGTGTCACATACATATATTCGGTGTATAGACTCAGACAAATATATAGAATATTTTATCAGGAGTCAGCACAGAATATGTGCATCTAGACGTGCCTGGGAAAATTTGTATGTGAATGAGAGTGTACATTTGTGTGTACAAGTGTGAGAATGAAGACGTGTGTAAGCATGTGTGTACATGTGTACATGTGTGCTAGTATACTGAGATATTGATGAGTGTCGAAAATAAACAAACGCATGCACAAAATGTAGTTGGAATCGACTATCGAGAGATTTCTCATGTGTGTGAGTGTGCCTTCGGTGGTCATGTGTGTGAGTGTGCCTTCGGTGGTCATGTGTGTGAGTGTGCTTTGAGTGAGTATGTGTGTTTGAATGTTTAAATGTCCGTGTTTGTGCGCTCACACATGAGAGCATAAGTGTGTGTGTTGAGTGAATGTGTACTCCCTTTTAAATGAGTACAAAGCAAATACTACTTTACAGTATTTACGGCTGGCATACTGATGAAGACTGCGCGTGCATGTTTGTGTGTGTGTGTGTGCCTTCAACAAGTGCATTATTACGCTTCCTGTCTGTATGCTCGTTGATAATTAGAACTTCCCCTTGTCTAAAGCGACGCAGCCTCAGTAACAGATGAAGCCGGAACAAGATGCATGTTTTCGTCACGATATGATATTGCCGATGTTACGTTAAATATTAACGCACTCACACATACGTTAAGGGTTTCATCTGACGGAGCAGGTGATGCTGTGTATGTGGATGTCAAACATGAAGGGTGAGGTGAGGTGAGGTGAAATTGGGTTTAACGTCGTGCTGGAGAATATTTCCTTCATATGACGACGTGCATGCGTGTGTATGTGTATGTGCGGCTGCTTGTACTGGCCCAGACTTCAGCTGGTTTTATAGTGCTAGCCCACTGAGATACCATGCCGCAGTGAAGCATGAATACCCCACTCAGACACATTATACGACTCCGAGCCGAGCGCCAGGCAGGGACCAACAAGTACCATATTTTAACGTCTTTTGGTATGACGCGGTCGGGGATCGAACCTGCGACCTTCCGCTCTCCGGGCGGACGCTCTAACCACTACACCACGGAGGCGGTCCAAACATGAAGGGATAAGTGAAGAGAAAACAAACCTTTTAAAGCATATTTGAATTAGGTTTTGAGGTTACCTTTGTTTTGCCTTTTCATGTTTATAGATTTTTAGGAGGAGGGTCTAGCGAGTGTCTTTTAGGGGTTTGTTTGTGTTTGTTTGGTAGGATATTCATTAATTGATTCAACAACGACACAATTCAAATTATGTCTTCCAATCATGTTCAACATTAACACGATACACACATGTGATATACGTACTAATAAACTATCTGCCTATCAACACCATTAGCTTTCCTGCTGATTCATGGTTCTGAACGTGACCCCCCATGCATCTTCTCGGGGGGAGGTGGATTATCGATCAGACATTCACTATACATCGATATACCTTTGTTACGTCACACGGCATAACGTGTGTACCTCGAGTTGCAAACGCTAATAATCACCTTATAATTATCATTATTACGTGTACGACATAGCATATCGCTGTGGGGGTCTCATTGGTTACTTTCTTCTGAAACATGTGTGTGTGTTATCAGGAAATAATTTAAGGATCCGATATTCAGTTTCAGCAATCCTACCACATTATTATTCGAATACATTTCCAACAGTTAATAACACATTTTTTCAGTATTCTTTGTGACAAATCCCTCATAGACTCTCGGGGTGATGGTCTAGCCTAGTGCTTAGGGCGTTAATTTTTCACCCGAAAAACTAAACTCACTCATAGACTCTCATTCGTTGCTGGCTAGGGGCATGCTGGGTAATGGCACTGATCAATGGGTAATAGGTAACAGTATTTATGCAGCTTATTTCGTGGCAGATAGATAGACTGATGCAATACGGGTGATAACTGACTACGTCAGTCGGTCGATCAGCTGCTTATACTTTGACTGAGGGCCTATCTTCTCGTGTCTGTCGTGTCGTCTGTCTGTCTAGTTTATCCTTGTCAGTCAAACTTCGTACTATTGTCTTTGTATATGTATGTGTGTGTTTGTGTGTGTGTGTGTATGTCTCTCTTTCTTTCTCTCTCTGACTCGCTCACTTTCTTTCTCTCAAACGTTTGTCTAAGTTTCTATTGCGTTTATCCTTGTGTGTATAGATCTAAAAAAAGCAGCCTTAAAGTGAAGAATTCGATTGATTTACAAGAGTGCAGGGGTTACCTCCCTTATCGTTCAAGTTACGTAAGGCTGGCCATGGGTCTATGGCCTACTTATGTACCGAATAAGAAAATAAGTAGACTGGAAAGCAATCACACCGATTGTTATTCTGATGTATTTCCCATTATAACAATTACAAGGAATGTATTCAGTACTTTGGCCACATGGCGTATTTGTACAACTACACGACAGAATACAATTTAGTCACGTGTGGGACCTGGTATTAAATACATATTTTAGATATAATGCAACAGATTTAGTAACGTTCATATTTGTACTATTTAACAAATGTATCATACTTTGAGTAGCAATGACAGACTTGATTGGCAAACATCTACTCCTAAGAGATGAATATTTACTACAAACAAGTACTACATGAAGGTGATCTTCCCTACCACAACAACAATGAGGACTGATTGTATCTAAGTGACTTACACCATTCTCACACCTTTTCCTGTTTATAGCAAAATCGTGGAGTGATATTCTCATTTTACAGAAAGCTCTTCTCAGGTCTCTCATGAAGCGAACTTAACGTGCTTATAATATTACATTTTTTGTATGCATGAAAACACCTAGGTGGGCCTCAAAGACCCAGTGTATACCTTTGAAGGTTAACTATGAATGTATGGATTGGCTTCCTCGCTTGATAGACTAACGTTGAAGTTGCGTCTATCTTCTTGACCTGTCTGTTTATCCTGTTTATTTAACGTGTTTTTCGACACGTGTTCCATATGGAAAAATAATACAAAGGCGAGGTCACATATCATCGTCACCCGTACGTGAAGGAAGCTGTATGCGTGTGGGGGGCACAATATTGTCCTGACAACTCAGATACGCGAAAATACATATCTGTTTTTCTATATGTAATCTATGTTAAAGATAACCATATCCAGTGTGTCAGCGATTAAGAACGGCTGGTGACGGATGACGACAGAGGGTACATGAACATATTAGTTCCATTATTTCTTTATGCGGTGCATAAAGTCGTGGATGCACAAATACAGGATAGCACACAAGAATATCCACGTTTGGCGTCATCAACGAGCGTGATAAAACGGAGAATACAGCGGAATCTGTCCAAACCAAACGCCTGAGTAATAAGGTTGTGTGTGACAAATATTATAAATAAAGGTCGGTAAATAAGACTTCACAATAACACAGGCGATAACATGCCGTTACATATCACCTGTCGGATCAGTATCAGTGTAAATATCATGTAGGTAACACACCGGAGGTGTTTAATCTTATGTTATGTACGGATACTCTGTTCCAGCTAAATCACCATATCGGCTTCCCTCTGTATCAAGTTGTATTCACAAAACATCCTTGTATTCACATGTCAATCTGCTGACTGCATATGTCCTGAACATATAAATACTGGATATTTTCTGATGCATTTTTATATGGAAGCTCATTAGTGCCACACACTTAAAAGAATACCTTTTTATACTCGTATTTATGTATCTGTTATAATATACTGATTGGAAAAATAAATCTACCTTTGAATTATCGACTCTGGTTACAATATTGTCAGTTTTTATGTAACCCGTAACTCGATTCATGATGACCGATTGTTTGTTTACTTTTTTAACCTGACATGTCTTTGAAAAGAGTTATTTATATAAACATTAGATATAGCCTTCATTTAGATGTTTTAAAGTTTTGTTTAATTAAAATGCTTCAGTTTTTGCATTATATTTTTGACAATTCGAAATGACTGTATTAAGTTATTAAAATTCCCCTGAAGTTATTGAAATACCCCGGAGGCCAGTTGATAGTTAATGACCAACAAACTGCCAAACATTTTAATATTCTGTATGAACTATATCCAACGTTTGTATGAACTATATCTAAAGAGACAACTTCAAAAGACAATATCAGGTCTTAGTGATGATACACAGTTTTATGATATCTTATATGGAGATGAAAATGTCTTCTACATATTTTAAATATTATATACGTATATGTTCATACAATCTACGAAGACAAAAGTATGTTCCACGTCGGTGCTTACATGTCCATGTAACTATCAATATGCGTGTTGCTTCATACTGAAACAGTTTGAAAACAGTTCGTCACAATTACCCAACACAGCCTTTTCGGTCAGCGCAACTGCATTTCTTACAATGCATTTATTTGCTGATCGAATTCAGGCTGCACATTTATATGAACTCTGCTGTAGTGAAATTGCTACCTCTTACTCAGTGTAGCTTTAGAAAGTAGCCAATAGAATATACCCAAGAGAGTAAAAAAACATTTAATTCACAACGAAAAGTATCAATGCCCAAAGAGAAAGACAATGTGCGACCAATACACAAAGATTCAAGCCATTATCAGCAGCCCTGGTGAGAAGTATTTTGTCATTTAAACAGTTCAAACGATGAGGAGAACAATGACAAATAGTAGCCTTCTCAATGATTAAAAGTGTCGGCTTAAATTGTATACACTGTCAGTCACTAAAAACACTTCCTGTGTACAATGGATGGGCCGGACTCATCGTACTCCTGTTTGCTAATCCACATCTGCTGGAAGGTGGACAGAGAGGCAAGGATGGAGCCACCGATCCAGACGGAGTATTTTCTCTCTGGAGGAGCGATGACCTTGATCTTCATTGTTGGTGGAGCAAGGGCTGTGATCTCCTTCTGCATTCTGTCGGCGACCCCTGGAAACATGGTGCTTCCTCCTGAGAGTACAGTGTTTGCATACAAGTCCTTACGGATATCAACATCACACTTCATGATGGAGTTGTATGTTGTTTCGTGGATACCGGCTGATTCCATACCCAAGAAGGATGGCTGGAAGAGGGCCTCTGGACAACGGAACCTCTCGTTGCCAATAGTGATGACCTGACCATCGGGAAGCTCGTAGCTCTTCTCTAATGAAGAGGAAGAGGCAGCAGTCTGCATTTCCTGCTCAAAGTCTAAAGCAATGTAAGCTAACTTTTCTTTGATGTCCCTGACGATTTCTCTCTCTCAGCGGTGGTTGTGAAGGAGTAACCACGCTCAGTCAGGATCTTCATCAGGTAATCAGTGAGATCACGGCCAGCAAGGTCCAGTCTCATTATGGCGTGGGGAAGGGCGTAGCCTTCATAGATGGGAACAGTGTGAGTGACACCATCACCAGAGTCCAACACAATACCTGTCGTACGACCAGAAGCGTACAGAGACAGAACAGCCTGGATGGCCACATACATAGCTGGAGAGTTGAAAGTCTCGAACATGATCTGGGTCATCTTTTCACGGTTGGCTTTTGGATTGAGGGGAGCCTCTGTCAGGAGAACGGGTGTTCCTCTGGTGCCACACGGAGTTCGTTGTAGAAGGTGTGATGCCAGATCTTTTCCATGTCGTCCCAGTTGGTGACGATTCCGTGCTCGATGGGGTACTTGAGGGTGAGGATACCTCTCTTGGACTGAGCCTCGTCACCGACGTAGCTGTCTTTCTGTCCCATACCGACCATCACACCCTGGAAGAAAATTCAGATTGAGATGACGTAAGAACATTTCGCTGGAACATTCAGATTGTATGCTATATCCATCCATATGCACATTTCCTTTTCACAATTCAAACCGTTCCTCCACGGTGATCCCAAACATAGCATCTTTGTGTTAAGAAAAGTTAAACTCACGTTTCTACTGACGGTACATATTTATTTTCACGCTTTTAATTTAAGAACAAAAAGATGACAAAGAATTATGCAGAATTAAATGTTTTGTTAATTGATGTTTGTCTTGAAATAATTTTTACACTCCCTAAATACAACTGTGTATACGATTAATATACCTTTGATAGAAACGTATTTTGAAACAATACCTAAACATTAAAATAAATCCATATAATTCATTCTTCTACATCATAAATGATAAATGCCAAACATTTATAGGATATCATCACATTGAAAAAATGAATTCAAAATATTCGTAACAAAACCAGTCAAGTTGACCAATTGGATGAGTCAATATTAGTCAGGATACAAAACAGTAGTGTATTACCTGATGACGGGGACGACCCACGATGGAGGGAAAAACAGCTCTTGGGGCATCATCACCGGCGAACCCGGCTTTACACATGCCGGAGCCGTTGTCAATAACCAACGCAGCAACATCTTCGTCACACATTTTGATAGGATAGTGTAGGAGCTTGTATCGTTCCTTTTTGCTCGCCGGCTGAGGACTGAATGACTGTGCATCCTCCACAGCTGTATTTATGTGGGCCGACCAAAGCACTTCTCGGAAACCAGCAACAATAGTACCTTATAAGGCAATATCATACTACATGTATTGAGGCCTGTGAAGCGTGGCAATAGCTGTGCGAGACTTTCGGGGAGGTAAGGGCACGGAATAAAAAACAGGTAGAACGGGTAAAGTTTCTCTGTGATAGGTAGGTAGGTTTGACACAGAAGGAGAGTTGTTGCAATGACCATGTTCATCTGTTGATTGACACATGTTTGCATTTTGGGGCCTTTGACTCAATAGCGATTGTGTTTTTGTTTATAGTTTTCTGTATTACGTATTATTTCCATCTAAATGCACATCATGCAGCTTCGTCATAAATGGCTTGTTTGGATTCATATTCTACTTCCCTGCTTTCAGAACTGTTTACATCGAAGCATGTATGCATATAAGCATATAGTTTCCGAATGTGTCAGGACTATGTCTGTCTATACTAGAAATGTTATTTATCCCTGTCGGTTACTCATATAAGGACAGCAACCCCAAGGTTGTGCACAACAAAAGATAAAGCACACAACCTCCCGCCATATATTGCCAGGTAGGTACACCTGTGATACGCCTAGCTGACGTTGACATATGTTACACCATTGATCTCGTCAGAGGTGAGTGAGTAAGTGGGAGAATATTGCTAACGCTGCACCAGCTATTCGCGGTGAACCAGGCCCCTAAACCGGTAACAGCAGTTTTATAAGTGCAACCATTCATATACTACTGAAAGAAGAATCCTATGTTGTGTAGCCTCTTTCAGCAGTATATGCGAATCCTTGTGTTCAGGTCATGCGTGTTATTAAATTAGTATTTACTGCATCCTAAATATGGGAGGTCACTCACACTCTCTGAATATGCGAGTTCATCTAGAAAAAGCATTTTACAGGGGCAAACGTTTGATTGGTTTGTTTATTTGTTCATTGTTAACACCCCACTCAGCAATGTTCCAGCTGTATGGCGGCGGTCTGTAACTAATCGAGTCTGGACCAAGTGAAGGCTGGAAAACAACATTGATGATAATGACTGAATATCTGAAAAATAATCGTGTTGTTTCCTTATTGTTTAACGTCGCAATCAGCAAGTTTTATATCTCTGTGAATAAGAGAGTCTGGACCAGACAACATCATGAGCAAAAAATACAAACTACACAAGTCAGCGAGCCTGAACATCCGATCCCGTTAGGCGCCTCCTAAGACATGCATGGGTTGCTGAAGAACAATTCTAACTAGACAAATACACAAACACACTGAAGGCGAGTCCATAGAATGTGTTTGCACACACGTGCTTGTGTGTGAATGTATCTCTGTGTGACATGTGTATGAGCATCTGTATGTGTGTGATTGTGCACATATCAGTGTACATGTGTGTGAGGATCTATATGTGTATGTGATTGTACACATATCAGTGTACATGTGTAGGAGCATCGGTATGTGTGTATAATTGGGCACATATCAGTGTACATGTGTAGGAGCATGTGGATGTGTGTGTAATTGGGCACATACCAGTGTACATGAGCGGGTGCCAGTGTTTTTAAACATCAGCTCTGTCACACTCTGTTGCTTATCTTCAAAAATATTTTTCGTCAGACTTTGATCTCTTTGATTCCGGAGAGTGCTTCACAATCTTAACATGTAGTCCACAATAACATATGGGTGTTTCTATATGATATACACCGGTAGTTATATAGATCATTGTATTCATTCACTTCTTCCTGGCGTGCCTGTCCGGAACATACCACCCGTTGCTTGCTGAAAACTTCAACTAAGAGCAAGTAATAGCATGAAGAAACCAATGATGCTGTACACCTTTTGCCGCATTTGACTACGTAGGTACCATCAGTATATTTTCAGTTCGCCTGTACACGGATGCATTTCATGAGGCTGACAGGTGGTGGATGGTTTCTGAGTGTTCATAACCTGTTCATGACGTTTCAGTTCATTCAAAGGCAGCATCTGTTGTATTTCCTGTTTTACTTATCACCATTATTGCTTATTCAATATGCAAGAATGAAGAAGTAAAGGAAATTGATTCTCTCAAGGTCGTACATAAAAAAAGATCTATGCATACATGTAGTATTTCATTTTGTCACTAATGATGGTTATGCCTGTTGTTGTGCTGAATATATATGAAGCAAAAAGTCACATCTTTTGATGTACGGAGTAGCCGACAAAACAATACCACATTTTGCTATCAATAAAATACAACGCGTGGTATGCGCCGTCTATTTCTTCACATAACATGTCTGACTTGGTCGTCAGAAACAAATTCAATTTGGTGTGAAAAATAGGTGAATGGACTACTGAAAATCAGTAATGGCACCAAATATGGTACAGAAGTAGAAATTCCCAACCCCAGCCCCCTCTCCCAGCACACACACACACTCACTCACTCACTCACTCCCATTCTCTCTCTCTCTCTCTCTCTCTCTCTCTCCCCTCTCTCTCTCTCTCTCTCTCTCTCTCTCTCTCACACACACACACGCACACACACTGCTGCAGGGGGTGAGGTCGGGGGTCGCGCTACACATCTGTATACCCATATTACGTCACACGGGATGTATTTATCTGTGCATCTTAGTAATCGCATTGCCATTATAACGTCTCGCTGTGGGTTATCGTTGTTATTTACCTCTGAAACAACACACATGTGAATGTAATCGCCTTGCCATTATAACGTCTCGCTGTGGGTTATCGTTGTTATTTACCTCTGAAACAACACACATGTTAATGTAATCGCGAAATGTGTTAAGGGTACGATGCGGATTCAGTTTTGACAATCCTACCACTTTATCAAATATGATTTTAGGATTCTTCCTGACTAATCTCTCACAGACTCACAACACATGCCGGCTGGGGCGTGCTGGGTAGCTTCATTGATCAATGGGTATTCGTCAGCAATATGTATGCAGCTTATTTCGTACTAATATATTATGGGTGATAATTACAGACGTATTACATGAGCGGTATGGCATCAAGCTGTGATGTATCGTTATGTTCTTACCTAACAACACATATGCCTTTCTTATCAGGAAATAAGGGCAGGACATTGATTTATTTTTACCAATTCTAACATATTAAATAAAGTGCTTCATACTGTCACGGCAAATTATTAACCGTAACAATACATTGCTCCAAAGAGATATCACTGCAATTTTTGTTATGATGCACATGATAACAGCAGTTGATATTCCACAGTAATATGTTCATTGTACTGTCTGTAATTGAGTGATATTTTACAAAGAAACGAGGTAAATTGTGCACCTTATTCATAAATTCTAATAAAGACTTTGATTCCATTAACAGGTCAATATAATGGAGACTTTTGATAAAAAGGAATTGAACACATAATGGTTAACTGTCTCCAGCGCGTATATCAATAGTATGTGTTTGTGTGAAAGTTCGGCCTCGGTGTAAGGCAAGGCAGTGTAATAAGTCATCCGTTTTTCGCAATGTTTATTAATGTATATCAGCTTGTAGTACTTGAATTCAGTTTCATCCAGATGTAACTGCAGAGACAGTCTTAAAAGGTGTATTGAAGCTTTAGAACAGTGGTGTAATGAATATTCCGTGACAGGAAGGTTGGACAATGTGAAACTTGCTTGGTTTTTTATTGGTTTAAAAAGGTGGTACACTTGTTAGACATGATACAAAATTTAACATTGAAATGTCTTCAAAACATCCTTCTGTTCTGAGAAAGCTAGCTATGTTTATCCTCCTTGGTATGGAACTAATAGAGGTAGCTTTAAAATAATATATACAGTACACTCTGTCCAACTCGAACTCTGTCTTTCTCGGATTGCTGTATAAACCGGACTGAACTAACTGTCCCGACGTAATCCATTTTTGTTGTAATAATGAAAAAGCTTTGTATCTCGGACTCTCATTATTTCGGATTTCGGACCAAAGTGTCGGCCCGAAAAGGTAGTTACACGTAAAAACATTGCTTTATAATCCGGACTGAGCAGGAAGTCCGCTTGGCCAATAAACCTTAATAATACATTTGCTTCACGGGTATTCAGTGATTACCTCCCTTTGTCGTTCAAAATTGCGTGAGAATGTCTGTGCATGATACAAATGACAGTCACTGTTACAATGTCCGGCAGACAGAGATAATACATACACCTACAGTCACACAGTCGGCGATCACTGTGCCAGGGAGACTCTCACTGTTACAATGTCCGACAGACAGAGATAATACGTACACTCACAGTCACACAACAGGCTATCACTGTGCCAGGGAGACTCTCAGTGTCGGAATGGGGAAAATCTACTGAAATTACATGACGTTACTCAAGGCTAAGTTTGAAATGGGGTTTCATACGGAATATTTCAGACACATGAAGATCCGGATTAGAATTGGTATTCAGCAACACATGCTTGTCGTAAAAGGCGACTAACATATGATCGGGTGGTCAGGCTCGCTGACTTGGTTGACATGTCATCGTATCCCAGTTGCGTAGATCGATGCTCATGCTGTTGATCAATGGAGTGCCTGTTCCAGACTTGATTATTTACAGACTGCCACCATATAGCTGGAATATTGACAGGGGCGTAAAACAACACACAAACAGAATATTTGAAAAGTGGGACCTTTTGTGTGTTTCTATTTCCCATCAAAAATATGTCTGCTGACATAAAGTGACCCTAGTGTCTGTCTGTCTCCTCTGACACAACTCAGATCAACATTTATTTCCACATAAGAACAAACATAACTGTAGTATGCCTCGTGTTAGGGGATAGCGATTTCGTGGTCAGTCTTGATTCAGTGCCAATATATCACTGGGAAAGCTTAGCGGTTAAAGCGTTACGCCCCGGGTTCGATTCCTCACGTGGGTGCAAAGTGTGAAGCCCATTTCTGGTGTCCTAGAACCAGATCGAGAATTCTAAACCACGACCACAGATCCTGGTTATCTAAGTGACGCAATTTGTTTGTGTTTCGTACCTTCCGGGTCAGGATAAACTCGGTGCTGTGGGTGGATTGTGTCACAATGCATCATAATGGCCTTTCCCATACATGGCGAGAACATATGACTGTGTGTTCTGAAGCGCGTCACCCAACACACCACGTTGCCGATCTATTGAATACCATATGAGGTGATACATTGACTAAATAGAGGTATATAAGCCGCCCGTCTGGACCGGTGCAGTCAGCTTACAGAACAAAGTGGTGATACACGTCTCATATCTTTCTGCCAAAATGTGTGACGAAGATGTTGCTGCGTTGGTTATCGACAACGGCTCCGGCATGTGTAAGGCTGGGTTCGCCGGTGATGATGCCCCAAGAGCTGTCTTCCCCTCCATCGTGGGCCGCCCACGACATCAGGTAATTATTCTATGATGTTTGCGATGGTTGTTGGACTCAAGCCTAACTGCCCGTGAAGATCTGGGTTAGAATTAGTCTTCAGTAACCCATACTTGTCGTAAGAGGCGACTAACGGGATCGGGTGGTCAGGCTCGCTGACTTGGTTGACACATCTCATCGTATCCCAATGCGTAGATCGATTCTCATGCTGTTGATCAATGGCCAATGATCTTGTCCAGACTCGATTAATTACAGACTGCCGCCATATAGCTGGAATATTGCTGAGTGAGGCGTAAAACTAAACTCACTCACTCACTCTCTGTAAATGAAGAGAAATGAGGTTCCCCGGGTGAGGGGTTTGTTTTAGTTAGGTGTTACTGTATAAGTTGAGTGAGGTGTGACTGTATAGCATTGGTATAAACGTTAAGTGACGTTCACGAACACAAAATGTTGTAAGTGTGTTCTGCTGTAGCGTCAGCACCTGGCCCTCCCAAAATAGTATCAAAACTTATTCAGGTATCTATACAAAGACAAACACTGAAACATTTTGAACTGTAACAAAGGTTAAACGTAGAAAGGAAAGGGCACCCGTGTGCTTTGTCTTCTATATGGATACACAGGCTGTGCACTTCCTGCTTGATATTGCACCAATCCCTGCATAGTTTGATTCCTCCAAGAGATCGTGGGACGAGCCGGTAGATCGGGTTTCTGAGCGGGAATTGAAAGGCGGGAATTATTCAGAGCATGCCGATCTCGTTTAATGAATAGACGCATGAATCCCAAAGACTCTCTGCAAACTATGCAGCTACAAATGTTTATCGACTAACACTCCTAGTGTTATTGAAGGGGGTATGTGTTTGTTCACGCAGTGATCCGCTTGGCATTTGTATTACAAACATAACGGGTACAAAAGCCTCAGCCCAGTCAATGTGTTTCAAGTTTTATGTCCAAATATGGATATGGAAATCGTCAGACATGCATACACAGTTATCGCAGGGATATGCTGAAACGAGTTTTACCGAAATCAAAGACAAACGTTATGCTCTAAAATGCTTTTGTGTGTGAATATGTAATGAAAAACTGGTTTGATACTATCTTATAATAAACGGAGTGAGTTTAGTTTTACGCCGTTCTCGGCAATATTCCAGCTATATGGTGGCGGTCTATAAATAATCGAGTCTGGACCAGACAATTCAACAGCATGAACATCAATCTACGCAATCCCGATCCCGTTAGTCGCCTCTTACGACAAGCATGGGTTACTGAAGATCAATTCTAACCCTGACCTTTACGGGTGAGAAAACGGCTTGATAAAGCTTGAGTTAACCTGTGATAGCACCCTAGCTACGATAGGAGATAACAACAGACATTCAGCACCCTAGCTATGATAGGAGATAACAACAGACATTCAGCACCCTAGCTATGATAGGAGATAACAACAGACATTCAGCACCCTAGCTATGATAGGAGATAACAACAGATATTCAGCATCCTAGCTATGATAGGAGATAACAACAGACATTCAGCATGTGTATTGAAGTCAGACGAGAGAAAGATTATTGGTAAATACATTGGCTAGTCACACCACCCTTGGTTCCCGTAATGGGGTGGGAACATTGCTAAAACCGGCATATAACTATTCTGGCCAATATTGGGTTATTTTTATTACTGTGATATTTATAAGACAACTTGAAAAGAGATAATGGTACAGAAAATGTTATCTCATTTTTTCCAGGGTGTGATGGTCGGTATGGGACAGAAAGACAGCTACGTCGGTGACGAAGCTCAGTCCAAGAGAGGTATCCTCACACTGAAGTATCCTATCGAGCACGGAATCGTCACCAACTGGGACGACATGGAGAAGATCTGGCATCACACTTTTTACAACGAGCTCCGTGTGGCTCCAGAGGAGCATCCCGTTCTCCTGACAGAGGCTCCCCTCAATCCCAAGGCCAACCGTGAAAAGATGACCCAGATCATGTTCGAGACTTTCAACTCTCCAGCTATGTATGTGGCCATCCAGGCAGTTCTGTCTCTGTACGCTTCTGGTCGTACGACAGGTATTGTGTTGGACTCTGGTGACGGTGTCACTCACACTGTTCCCATCTATGAGGGCTACGCCCTTCCCCATGCCATAACGAGACTGGACCTTGCTGGTCGCGATCTTACTGATTACCTGATGAAGATCCTGACTGAGCGTGGTTACTCCTTCACCACCACCGCTGAGAGAGAAATCGTCAGGGACGTCAAGGAGAAGCTGGCCTATGTCGCCCTCGACTTCGAGCAGGAGATGGCTACAGCTTCCACTTCTTCCTCCCTGGAGAAGAGCTACGAGCTTCCCGACGGTCAGGTCATCACCATTGGCAACGAGAGGTTCCGTTGTCCAGAGGCCCTCTTCCAGCCATCCTTTTTGGGTATGGAATCAGCCGGTATCCACGAAACAACATACAACTCCATTATGAAGTGTGATGTTGATATCCGTAAGGACTTGTATGCCAACACTGTACTTTCGGGAGGTAGCACCATGTACCCAGGAATCGCTGACAGAATGCAGAAGGAGATCACAGCCCTTGCACCAGCATCAATGAAGATCAAGGTCATCGCTCCTCCAGAGAGAAAATACTCCGTCTGGATTGGTGGCTCCATCCTTGCCTCTCTGTCAACCTTCCAGCAGATGTGGATCAGTAAGCAGGAGTACGATGAGTCCGGCCCATCCATTGTACACAGAAAGTGTTTTTAGTGACTGATATTGCATAGACAGTAACATTAAAGAATCACTATTAATCACCTAAAGGCCAAAATGTATAATTGTCTTTCTCATCCTCAGAAATGTGTTGAGACTGAAATTACAAAATACATAATGGTTGCTTCAGTTATCCTGATAATGGTTGCAGAGCGTTTGTGTATTTATTCCAATGTTGTTTTCTTAATTTGGCATTGATACATTTTCTTGGCTTATTTATTATATATTACATATCTTGCATCAATTCTACTCTATTGTCTACTTGGAATAGTTACAAAGAACGTGCGTTGTTTTTGTGCGCTGTGCATGTTTCATGCAATCGTCAGTATATACAGAGTTGTACCACGAACTACAGTTACATGGCTGAAACCCATGTCTCGTCAGTATATACAGAGTTGTACATGCAGTTACACAAGCTGAAACCGACATGTCTCGTCAGTATATACAGAGTTGTACCACGAACTGCAGTTACACAAGCTGAAACCGACATGTCTCGTCAGTATATACAGAGTTGTACCACGAACTGTAGTTACACAAGTTGAAACCGACATGTCTCGTCAGTATATACAGAGTTGTACCACGAACTGTAGTTACACAAGCTGAAACCGACATGCCCCGTATGAGTAATTGCATCGTTTTACATGCAAGCAACACAACATTTCTTAGTTGTTATTTGTGTTGCACAATTATACAAACACGTAACTTAAGGGGAGCTTTGACTGCATTCAACTCTAAAAAATATATTTTCACTTTTGGCAGTCTATGTCTGTTGTAAGACTGCTAAATATTCCTAGTCCCTCCTTGACAGAGACATTGTGTCAAAGTGGCTACTTGTTTTCTAAATAAAACATTCCTCATCAGAAAATATCCACCAAAACTTGTTTCTATTTCATATTCGAAAGAAATATCTCGATGAACATGGAGACATGTTGTGGGGTTTTTACTTTATATACACAGCATTAAACAATCTGTTTACTGATACGTGAATGTAAACTTAATGCGTTCACATATGAACCCCCAGTTTGACAGACGGAAAAACGGTTGTCGGTTATTATTATAACTGGTAAAAATGTTCCTTTTTCTCGGTGGTGATGATTCTATACAGGAGATTACCATTTTAAAGAACCAAAGGGACAACAAGCCTGACCACCCGATCCTATTACGTGGACTTGTACGAAAAGAATAAATTGAACTTATAAGGACCTGGGCCTCGTTCTACAAAGCGATTGTAGTGCAACGACTGTCGTAAGTCTATGTTTAAGTGTAGGAGTTACGGTCGTCTTAGGGTTACGATCGCTTTGAGGAATGGGGCCCAGTTCTCATTTGTGCTTCACGAGATTTTAGTCAAATCAAAAGCCCGAAAATTGCGTAATTTTATGCTTTGTTGAAACCAGCTCTGTAACTGTTATGTAGGACACCCTATTTCAAATTCAGCCTCGAGTAACTTCATGCAAATTCAGTTGTGTCTGAAACTACAACCCCCCTTTCCGACTCTATGCACTGAGCAAAATTACATCGATCACTTTCTGTAGAGATCAAGGCCCATAACTGTGTATGTTCAAGATAAAAAAGCATGAAGCAAGGGAAGTAAGTCTTGGAAAGATCATTGGTGGCGCCAGTTTCAGAAGTTTGTCTTCAGTGGTTGACATAATGATGTTCCTATCCACAGAATCGAATACTAAGCCTGTTTGAAGACAAGCAGTAAGTTTGAAAAAGTGTTCCGTTGTTGCAGTTCGGGGCCTAAAATCTGTTTGTTCGTCATATGCTGTGATATTGATCAATTCCTTTCAATGGAACCAAATTATTATTCGAAGATTCCTATATTTCCAAAATATATTTGGGGACGCATTCTGATAAATCCCTTGTCGTCTTGAGACACGAGTGAGACACTTGGTCCTAAACACTTCGTTAAGGGGGGCCGTTTTATTACCACACGGAAGTAATAAACTGTTTTACATGTTACTCAACTATTGGATAATTTGCTTTTAGCTTGCGACATGTTATGAGGCATCAAAACACAAATTGGACATGTAATTCACCAATTTAACACCTTCCCGTCATGGCATTTAAACCACCAGGATGGGAGAAAGGCAGCCAGTGAGCAAGCTTCACACTTTCCTTTGGCACCAATTCTCAGCTAATGTAAGCCAATGGTAAGAAAATAGACCGGACCTCATTTAGATGTGGCTACTTTGCATAGCAACTACTTTGATATATGACCCGGTCTTGGCTATATATGCATCGTATGAAGATATAAACCCTTTCATTGACAATTGTATATATGTTTGAGGTTTTCTGAAATAATCACACACAATAATTAAGACAAGGTATATTCAAATAGTTTTCCCAAATCGATTTACAGTTGCTTTCATTATTCTGTTCTTGTTACATTTATGCAACATATTCGGGTTAAATTCATTCATGTGACATGCTACGCCTCACATAAACTAACATTATATTGCGGCACATTGACATCACTGATATAAATAAATCATTTCCTGATTTGTACCGAATTGTGCTCACTGTAGCATCAGTTGCATCAGATTACACTGTTCACAGGATTCAAGAAGGAATGTCCACATTTTGTCACTTCGATGATAGAGCTGACCTGTTTAATACATCTAATAATCAGTGATAAGCTCATATCCCCCATTCGTGTAATGCATCAGTTGTAATTGACAGTTTATTTTTCTTCCCTTTACCTTCCTTTACGATCCGAATAACAACTAATATTGTCCGCGACGGTGAATAAAGGTGTCACCATTGTATTCTAAGTCACTAGAAACACTTTCTGTGAACAATGGATGGGCCTGACTCAGCATACTCCTGCTTGCTGATCCACATCTGCTGGAAGGTTGACAGGAAGGCCAAGATGGAGCCACCGATCCAGACGGAGTATTTCCTCTCTGGAGGAGCGATGACCTTGATCTTCATTGTGTTGGGAGCAAGGTCTGTGATCTCCTTCTGCATTCTGTCCACGATACCTGAGCACAAGGTGGTACCTCCTGAGAGAACAGTGTTTGCATACAAGACCTTACGGATATCAACATCACACTTCATGATGGAGTTAAACGTGGTTTCGGGGATACCGGCTGATTCCTTACCCAAAAAGGATGGCTGGAAGAGGATCTCTGGACAACGGAACCTCTCGTTGCCAATAGTGATGACCTGACCGTCGGGAAGCTCGAAGCTCTTCTCCAGGGAGGAAGAAGTGGAAGCTGTAGCCATCTCCTTCTCGAAGTCGAGGGCGACATAGGCCAGCTTCTCCTTGATGTCCCTGACGATATTTCGCTCGGCGGCGGTGAAGGAGTAACCGCGCTCTGTGAGAATCATCATCAAGTAATCAGTGAGATCGCTACCAGCAATGTCAAGTTTCATGGTGGCGTGTGGTAAGGCATATCCCTCATAGATGGGAACAGTGTGGGTGACACCATCACCAGAGTCCAAAAACAATACCCGTCGCACGACCAGAAGCGTGCAGAGAAAGAACGGCCTGAATGGCCACATACATGGCTGGAGAATTGAAGGCTTCGAACATGATCTGGGTCATTTTTTCACGGTTGGCCTTGGGGTTGAGGGGAGCCTCTGTCAGGAGAACGGGATGTTCCCCAGGATTCACTTCGAGCTTTTCGAATGTGTGATGCCAGATGGTTACAATACCGTGCGAGACAGGGTATGTGAGTTTGCGAGCATAGTGCCTTGAGCGAGCTTCGTCACCGACGTGGTAACTATTTCCCTGGAATAAACTGACATGACATATATACTCAGACTTAATTGAGACTGGACCGACAAGAAATAAAGTCACTAAAGATCACGATACAGGACCTGGAACATGACTTGCTACCAAATGAAATCTGAAAAGCCATGCTAACATTATTACTTACTCCCCTTCAAAGACGAATGCCATATAACATGGCGTGTCAAAACCAAATAATCCTAATAATAACCTAATAATAAGGATGGTAATATTATACACAGAATTGAGAGCAACATGGAGTATATGTGTAATAAGGATTCAAACCATTCGGCTGAATGTACAAAATAATGTATGTTTGGTAATGCTGATGAGCACCTTGTCATCCTTGATATCGAAATTTATGTTACAATAGAGATGATGGAAGATAAGAGGAACACTATATGGATAGACAACTCAAGCAAATGATCATTTGCGTGATAACTGTGTTGGAATCTACACCGAAACGTACCATCTATTGCGATAAGAAGTATTCCATCCACAAATGCTCCTCTTCATCACAGTAGCTCCTAAATGGCACTTAAGAAGAACAATTTATACGGATGAAATGATGGGGATTTCTTCTGTAATAGAATTCAATATATATACTAAAGGATATCCCGAACCTGTGTTATGTGGAGAGAATCATTGTTCCGGTCCTTATATATATGTTTGATTATCTTATTATTTATGAATTATTTAGTAACATAATTACGATGATTTAAGAATCTCGGACATATCTGGATCATTCATTCATTCATTCATATATGACAGTAGGGATTCTTTACTCGGAACCCTGGTCAACTGGTATGAACGAGGTTTTCCTCCAGTGAACAGTCAAAGAACCTTAACAAACATCAATTACCTGGCGGGGCCGGGTGACCGACGATGGAGAGGGAAGACAGCTCTTGGGGCGTCGTCACCTGCGAACCCAGCCTTACACATGCCGGAGCCGTTGTCGATAACCAAGGCGGCAACACCTTCGTCGCACATTTTGGGTTGAGAGTTATAAGACGTGTTTTACTACCGGCTGTGAGGAATGTGTTAACCTGGACAGGCGGGTTTGATACTGTAAAGTGGTAAATGTATCATTTACAGGGAATGCAGACACTAAAGGACGTGCCATTTTCATTCACAGGCTTTGGTGGGGTATACAATTAGCTCTCGGGAACGTCTAGAGTTGCGGAGAAACACACGCATGTTTCTTTAGGAAAATCTTCACCCGGTAGATTAGCCAGAGTACCGCCCACTCTGGTCCTACATGTCCTATCAGGGCGTCGCCTTCACAAGCAACAAAACTTCATAATATGACTATTTAAGGCAACATTGGGCTCAAACATTTGTTTTACCCAAAATGGTTTATACAAAAATATCAATATATTGAGACAGATAGACAAAAGTGTTTATTATATCC